TATCCCAGCATTTTTGATGCAAAAAATCAGCAACAAGCCTAAATAAAACTGTCAGAGCAACACAGAGAAAAAGAAGAGACACACATACATCTTGCTATCTTTGTGAGGACTTCACACACACAGTGCTCACAACATCTCTGCCTCAGTCTGCTGCTCCCGTTTTAACAACAGACAAAAATGCATTTAAAACAGCTGACGTTTACTTTAGATCACAGTTTGAAATGTACACCGAAGAGAACCAGCAACACGACTGCGGTCAAAGCAAACGTGATGTGAGCAGTGTCTGGTTCACATGATGGTGGATGGCTGCACTCGCTAAAACGTTCAGCGAGAAAAGAGCAAAAGCTTTTTTATTTTAATCCAGCAGGGAGAACAATTGAGGTGTTTTTCTATGCCTCATGTGAGCAGCTCCAGCATTTTTAAAAAGAAAAACAACGCGGACACGCTGATTACAGTGTGGTGCGAAAGTGAAAGTAAAAAATGTCACAGCGCTCCCGTCTGGAAAAGAAACTTAAACACAGCTGTTCTTTCTCCCCTCATATTCCAACACAGAGGGTAGAAACAGTTAAATTAGACAGTTAAAACACATTTATAGTTCATAACTCACCCTTGTTGTTGTTAGCACTCTGTCTCACAACATTAGCTGCTGCGCTCTCCCGGGGGGAAGGGGCGGACACATGCGCTCGCGTGACCCAAAGAACGGATCGGCCGAACGGAATGTGTATCGGCCGAGACCGATACAAGTAAAAAACGCAAATATCGGCCAAAAATATTGGCCGGCCGATGTATCGGTCGACCCCAGTTACAAGTGGTGCAAAAGGACTTTTCTCATGATGCTCTTTTCCTTTCTCCCCCCTCCTGTGTCAATTAAAGTTCCTAATAAATAAAGATTGTTTCATGATTTCAACTTTAGTCTCAGTAAGCATGTGAGGAAGGAAAACARGTCGCCACCATCCAGGTCTACCTTTGATCTTGTCTCCCAGCTGGCTGCACTCGTGYTCAGAATAGTGGACGATGGGCGGAGGGGACGGCGGCCGGAGGCGATCCTCCTCCATCTTTCGCCTGTGCCGCTCCTCTCTGGCCAACATGCGCTGGCGACACTCCCACTCATACAGGTCGTCCCTGGCCTGGGCAAAGTCCACGTGGAGTCGACCCGTGTCCTTTTTRTCCGTGCTGGAACCCAAGCGGATTCGATATCCTGGGGGAAAGACACTTTGAACATTAAAAACATAAAGTRAAGGAAGAAAGAGATAAAAGAAGAAACAGGCTAAAAGAATGGAGAGCAACAGGGAGGGGAACTCACTGACTAAAGTGATCAAGTGTGAGCACAAACAGAGATGTCTTTTTTTTGTTGTGCGATTTCAGAGGACTATATTGTCCAGATGTTAAAACGTTTGGGGACATAATGCTTCCAGACACTAAAAAAAAAGGACATTAGGTACTAATATAGTAAAACCTCAATGGATTATTTCATATTTTTTAGCTCATTTCATTTTAGCCTCAATCTGCCTGGTCCCTTTTCGGTTCCAGTCCATAACTGTGTGAATGGTTATRAAGCATTCACACTACTGAGATCTATTTTTCTTCCATATGTTTGGCACGTATTGTTCCACAATTTCTGTTTCATCAAACAGAAATTGATCAAAACGTTCAGCTGCTTCAGGACATTCCAGCTATGACTTTTGGTACTTCCTCAATTTATATATTTTGATTTATTTTGCTTTTTGTCTGCCATTTTTGTTCTTATTGAAAATTAATAGTGCTGTTCAAAGTCCTTAAAACCCTTGAAAATGTTCATAAATCTTTACTGTACTTTTTGTTCTGGTTCTGCTTTTTAACTCCGTTGTACTCATTTCAGCTTCTTTTGGCTTCTATTTAGCTTTTTTCAGTTTTTTATCCCCTATTTCGTTTCTATTTCGGCTATTGTATTTTCAGTTTTTTAGCTATTCAGCTAGTTTTGAGTTTTTATGCTTCTTTCAGCTGCTTGCTGCTAATCTAAGCTGTCTTCTGTGCTTTTAGCTACCTTTCAGATAATTTAAGCTTTTTTCAGCTAATTTCCCCTTTTATAATTTCAGCTTCTTACTGCTTAATTCAGAAACATGCTCTGCTTCTTTGTGCTAATATCAGATATTTCAGCTACCTTTTAAATGTTACTTTTTAGGCTAGTTTAAGTTATTGTAGCTATTCAAGAAAAACCTTTCAGCATTAAGCATTCACACTGCATTTTTGCAGGAAATGCAAATTCTCTAGTTTACAACTCTTTTTATCTTCACACATTGTATTCACACCCATTTTAAAAATGATTTTAGGTAATTAGTTATACCTGTTTCAAAGCTAAAATAATATAAAAACAAACAGCCACAAAAAAGATTTTATATGTCTGTAGGTTTAAAATTAAATTGACCTTCAATACAACATACAGTTGAAAACAAAAACAGTCCACAAAAAAAAAAACAACAACAACAACAATCCTAAACTGTAGTGGCCTGCTATATTTTGAGGATTCCTTATGTGTCTGTAATAATATGTCAGAAAATAAAGCTAACCATAGTACAATTCAGACTTTTATAGGAGGTATACATGCCAATTCACTGCCCTCTCATCTTCGTTGTTGCTCATTTTTCCTAAAAAGGTTTTTTAAAAACATTCTGTAACAATGCTTTTGGGCAGCTCAGAAAGCCTGCATCCTTTTGTCAATAYACGAGAGTGACTTGGAGAGGCCAATTACTTCTGTAGTGGTTGTGAAAGACCATAATATTCCTCATTAACCCTTCTTCTCTTCTGCACTTCCGTCTTATCCCTACTCTATCCTCCCTACTCAATTTTCACTAATAGCTAGTTGTGGACTGACGTGAAATCTTGCTCCATTATGAGATTTAATTGGCTGAACTGATCAGAGAGTGTCCAGGGTGTGTGTGTGGACATGAAGAAAGAAAAAAAGGGAAGGGGGGGGCAGTGAGGGATGCCAACACAAACAGAAAACAAAATGAGCACAAAGTCAGGGGTTTCTCTTTCAGTCTGCTCTCTCTGCTTCAGGCTCTTAATCTACCACTACTTCAATATTTCATACGAGGGGATGTTGATGTGCTGGAGCCGCCCGAGTGTGTGTCAGTGCTGCGTATTGTTGTTTRCACAGGCTCAGTGTGTGGGTGGGTGGGGTATTATTTATGGGGGAACTACACAGCTCTGTCATCAACCTAATATATGGACCTCTGCTCCCACATCTCACTGTAAGAATAGAGGCAGTCGAAATCAAATGATCTCTCATTCAAACTGACGCTCTCTCACATGCATTTGCACATGCATGAAACACAATAATGCCCAGGACACTCCTGAGATGGCTGCTCAGCTAAGTGGATTTTTTAAAACCAGAGTAAGTGGCCATCAGTTTGCAAAGGAAAAACTGAGGATGTCTTTAGCCCACAGGCTCCAAATGAAGCTTAGATAAGAACACAATCTGCAGCCAGATGGTTAGTAGTGGATCTTTTTTTGTTTTTCTTGTTAAATTACTGATCACGTATTTTCCTTCAGCTTGAGCTTGAAGGAGGCTGTAGCTGAATTCTGAAATTTATAACTGTTTGTACTGTATTAATGTCCTGAATTCCAAACAGTTATGGGAGTTTAATAGAAAAGGCATTTCTTTGTGCTTTTCTAGACGTAACTTTCCWTTTCAAAATGTTAGTAACATAAAAAAACAGAAGATGCCATCAGTTTTAGTCATTTCAACTTTGAAACACTTTCCACAGAAGCTTGGCTTGGCAAAATCTGTAATAACTTTCAGCCTCACTACTCTGATGAAAATCTGAATCCGAGCTCTAATAATAAAAATATGTATGTTCTGCACTGGTTCTACTAAAGAAAACAAAACAAAACAAAGAATCCCTAATTCTAAAGAATTTGTCTTTGCTGAAAAACGTTGCGGTTCATATAAAGTGGAACTGCAATGCTCTGATCTGAATTCCTCCTTATTGTAACTCCACAAGCCCCTCGTTCGCCTGTTTCCTGAGGTGTGTCTCGAATCAACTCGTTTTGATGAAGATATCTTTGCAGCACCAGGAGACTAAATCTAATTTTCTGCACTCCTAGAGACTCCAAGTACACATCAAAAGGCATTTTATGGCAAAAAAAAGTGGATTTTGCATGATATGTCTCCTTTAACGTTACGGAACAAACACTTATTATATGCTCAGACTGATTACGTTTTAATCCAGAAACGTTATTTTCATAAAATGTCCTGTCAAATCCTTGAAAAACTTACAGAAAGACTAATATCAATGTAATATATGTACAGGGTTCACTTTTCATCTAAGTGTTGCTTTGAGGTACAGAATGACAGTAAAATATATCACTCAGGACAAACCAAATGAATTTAAGATTTATTGGTTTTGCCTTCTTACCAGACAGGAAAAGAGCTTTATCCACTGTGGGCTCTTCAGCAAATCTGATATGGCAGAAGTTCTTCTTGCTTTTACGTATAGCCGTGATGTCGCCACACTGTCCAAAGACCTCCATGATGAGCTGCTCGGTGGCATTTTCTGGCAGACCACCAACAAACACTGTCTTACATCCTGGGGGGCGTTCTCTTGTGGCTGGAGGGGGAAGGTCTGTTCAGAGGTGACAGGAGAAAAGAAAAAATAATGAATTACTGCACATGTGAGACATCCTCCAACCTCAAACCATTAGAGCTGTATTCTGTAAAGTGAAAGGTTTGTATGTGGGGTTAGATTATCTCAGGTGATTGCTACTAAAAAATAAGTTTTTTAAACCATGAATTAAAGATTTTAAACTATAGGAAAAAAACAAACTTTCATCAATAGACTTCATTTTAAAAGTTGATTCTGCAATATCCCATTAAGTCCCATTTAAACCACAACACTTGATTCTTAAAGACGATAAAGCTCAAAGCACGARTAACTCGGAGCGGTACGTTCAAATCAGTTTTTGTTAGATAAATGTTAAATTCAAACCGTCTCCGGCATGAAAATGAAATCCTTTTTGGCAACAATGTGATTGCAAWTCCTCTCATGTGGAAGGTTCCCTGCACTGCAAAAAATAAACGCAGAAATCATTTATTCAACACAGATGAGTGTTGACTGATCTAATCTCCAATAGATCAGGCTTCTCATCCATGATGAATGTGATTAGTGGCGTCTATGAGGAGTGAACCAAATAATCACTGGAATGCTGAGGATGCTGTATTTCTAGTTATCTGGAGAAAAGGCCTTGAGTGAACAGTTACCTCTGTTCTCATCCCAATATATATCACTCAAAAAAGACTAGGCTGATTTTAGCTTCATTTTTCAGTGTTTTTCTTTGTATTCACAGGTGCTACAATTTTAATATGTTAGTGCTGTATATTTAAGAACTCTTCACTCAAAAGAAGACTGATGCCTTCTTCTCTAGTCAAACCCTCATCTTTAGTAAACAATTCAAGTCCCAACAGGGAGACTGAAAACAACCTGGAGGGGTTTCTCAGCAGAAAAGCAAATTTAATTCTCCAAAACAAAATAAGAAGTTGAACTGGGGAAGATGCCAGGAGTGAGCTAACAATGTAACTTTAAAATTCAGCTCTGTGTCTGAGCTCTTAGATGGAGGATTTTCTATTAAACTGGAAGGCCAGAAAGAAACTGTTTTAAAACAAAATGTGGACACAGTTATCAAGGATTTTAAAATTTTGATTTTGAACCGGAGGGAGTCCGGTTTGGTGGATCCAAGGATTTCATCTCTGTTATCATCGTGCCGTGATCTTCAGCCCTCGCTGGAGTGGTTCACAGCCGGGTGTGAAGTGGCTGGGATGAGGATCAGCACCTCCAAATCTGAGTCCATGGTCCTCAGTCGGAACAGGATGGATTTCTCTCTTCAGGTTAGAGGTGAACCTCTGCCTGAAGTGGAAAAGTTTAAGTATCTTTGGGGTTTTGTTCATGAGTGAAGGAAAAATGGAGCGTGAGAATGACAGCTTTTGCAGTTTTGTGGACTCTGTATGGTCTGTTGTGGTGAAAAGGAAGGAGAAGCTCTCTGTTTACATATCAGTCTATTATCCTACCCTCATCTATAGTCACAAACATCAAACTTGGGTATTGACTGAAAAAACAAGATTGAAGACAAGAGGTTGAAATGAGTTTTCTCTGCAGGGAAGCTGGACTCTTCTTTAGAGATAGGGTGAGAAGTTTAGTTATCTAGGACAGTGGTTCTCAATCCTGGTCCTCAAGGACCCCTATCCTGCATATTTTAGTTGTTTCCTTGCTCTTCAGTAAGCCTACACACATGGAGAAAATTGTTGGTACCCCTCGTTTAATGAAAGAAAAACCCACAAAGGTTACAGAAATAACTTGAATCTGACAAAAGTAATAATAAATAAAAATCAAAAAACCAGATCACAGGCAGGAGTGGGG